GCTCCGGGGGCTTCCTGGCAGCGCTTCTGAAGCGCTGCCAGGAACGCTTCCACGCGTGCCTGCACGCGTGCAGGCTCGCGTGGACGCGCGTCGGAAGCGCTCCCGGACGGGCTGCCGGCGCGGGCAAACCGCTGCGGGGATCGTGGACCGGCGGAGACGGGCTGCTGGCGGGCACCGCCACCGTCCGGCTTCTAATCTAAAGCCCTCTAGCTCTCAGAGAGCCCTCGGGGAATTACTCCCGTAGGCTTCCAGCAACTAGCAAAGGGAAGCTCTACGAGTTACTAGCTCTCCAGCGCCCCGGAATACCTCGTAGAGCTCTTCGGCAAAGAGCTAAGAGGAATTCGGGCGCAGGGTGGAGCTAGTTGGCCAGCCCGACCAAAAGAGAGGATGTGGTAACCTGGGGTCGGTTTTTTTCACTTTATTCAAAACTTTGAAGTTCGTTGTCAGGAGTGAGATTGTCATTCCCTGTAGTAAGCTATGGCGCACCTGCTGGTTAATTCTTTATGGCTCTAGGGGCAGTATTACTATCAAAACACTTGGAGGAACCGATTTTGTATCGACATCAAAAAATGCGTTTTTCTGAGTCATCTGATAAGCTTTTTCGGTGAGCAGGCAGGGGGGGAGGGAAGGGAGTGGGTTATGCCGCTCGACGCGTATGGAATTCTCGTTATTCTTCCGCTCCGCTCTCCCAACATCCTGCTTCTTTTCAGGGTTCCACGACATGTGTTACTGACGCCAGTTCGAGGCTGTACGTTCCCCCGGGGGTATCCACGATCTGTTCTTTCAAAGGGGTCGTGCGTGGCGCTGTTTATTGCGCGACTCATGGCGAAACTAATTGTTAACCTGTGTTGGAGTGGCTGGCGCAAGCCATGGCGCGATCTGAATTGCCAGTCGCAGCGCAAATCGTCGTCCCCCCTCCTTCTTGCCCCTCCGCTCCCTTCGTCCGATCCCTTCGTCCTCATTATCCCCCGTTATCTGTTGCCCTTCGTTTTCAGGGGCTTCGCCGACCACGCGTGGCAGGGATTGACTATACCCCCCAGGCGGGGGTACGATCGAAGACGAAGAAGGCGGGTATCCAGGGTTTGGGATATGCATATTGAATGACACTTGAGCAGGTAAGAGTGAACAGTCTTGAAATGATTGTTGTTCTTGTCGTGGTCATTGTTGTTGTAGTTGCTGTTGTTGTCGGCGTTGGTGTTGTTGTGGTTGTTGTTGTTGTTGTTGGTGTTGACTTTTTAGTCTTGATCCTTAATGACTGCTGTTGATCCCCGCAGGTGCACGTTGATGTTTCTAATTTAAGAGCCCCCGTCCGCGCTCGTACCGTTTTTGGTTTTGTAGGGGAAGTTTTCTTGCTCGAAAAGTGCCCCCTGGCGCGTCGTTTCATGCGACAACGGCGCTCGCCTGATGATTCTTGGTAAGTTATTGAGAAATCGCGCTTTCGCACGGGGATTGTTAACAGCTTAGGGAGGAATCGCGCTGCCGTGCTCGATTTCTTTGCAATTTATTGAAACGCCGCGCCTTCGACATTCAGGAATCACGTTCTCGCATTGGCTTTTCTGTTTTTTTTGGGGGGGAATCGCGCAATCGCTTGACATTTTCCGCGATCCAGGCATGACGAACCCTTCAGCAGTCCCCCTGCTCGAGTTGGCCGCTTGACCCCGCATTCCCCGTCAGCCCGCGAGGGTCAGCCCGCCCGATTTGTCCTGTCACCTGGTTTCTGCTCTTAGCCCCCCTCATGCTAATTTCTCTCGTGCTCCATCCTTCCCCCCCGTTCCATCCGTACTCTCCTCCCTTTGGGACTGCAGTACATGCACGTGGCAGGTAAGGAAGATCTGCCGTCTTGGGTGTACGGTCGGACACGAAGCGGGCGGGTACAGGGGGTTTGGGTTTACTTGCCGAGTGGCACGCAAACAAATCGGAACGAATATTCTTAAGCTGATCGTTTTTCTTTGTGATGTCTCTTTTTTTGGTCCGTATATCTATCGTATTGCTGGATGTTTCATTTTATATGTGGGACATCGTGCAAATTTGTGGTGTGATCGGATTGCGGCGAAAGCCACGATTGATGTTAACGCATTTCCTGGTCCGCGTACGTCAATGGGAAAAGTCCATGTGTCCAGTGAGCAGCGTTGAAAAGACGAGTTTCCATGTCGAATAGCTACTTATGCCTGACAAACCGAGAAGTTCGAAGGAATCCTGCGGCCTCCATCGGAATCCGTAGGAATCTTCAGGAGTCCACTGGGATCCGGCGGAATCTCTAGGAATCCGTCGGAGTCGTTAAGAATCCGCTGAGATCCTGTCCAGAGGAATCCCACGGAATCCCGAGGAATCTTGCGGACTCTAGAGGAATCCAGCGGACTCCCGAGGAACCTTGCGGAATCCATCGGATTCCCGAGGACTTCCAAGGAATCCTGCGGAATCCACGTGGTTATTCTTAAAGAGAACAGCACTTCTCGCGGCCATGCTCGGTTAATGAACCCTCTGGTGTGTTGTGGTCTGATCGCGTAGTCTTTCGGCATCCGTCGGATTCCTATACAATGCCCAGGAATCTTTGGGAATCCAGGGGTATCCTTGGGAATTCATGGAGGTGGTGACGGATCCATAGGAATCCTTCATATTGGAATCCATGGGAATCCTGAAGGATCCATCGGAACCTCCAGGAATCTTCAGGACCCCCCAGGAATCCCGAGGAATTCACAGAAATCCTCAGGAAACTTTGGACATCCGTAGGGATCCTCTGGACAGAATTCACAGGAATCCGCAGGAATTCTTCGGAATCATCATGGTTCCCAAGGAGTTCCCAGGAATACGTTTTCTTGAAAGATCCTCAGGAATCTTAGAAAATCTTTAGGGACTCTTAGGAACCCGTAGGAATCTTGAGGAATCCTTTAGGACTCCTCAGGGAATCCCCAGGACTAGCATAGGAAACCGTTGGAATCGTCAGAGATCCTCAGGAATCCGCAGCCATGGCTCGGATTTTTTTAGGAATCCAGAGGAATCCTTATCCTGAGGAATCCATCCGAATCCAAATCCGTAGGAATCCGAAAGAATCCAGAGGAATCCTGAGGAATCCTTATCCGGTGGAATCCCTAGGAATCCATAGCAATCCTCCGGAATCCTCAGGGATCGTCAGGAATCCCTAGGAATCCATTCGGACCGGTCCACTCGGGCCTGCTCCGCTTTCGGACCTGGCCCATAGGACTTGTTCTGCTCGGACCTGGTCATCTCGGACCTGCCCAGGCTGGGGGGGTCGGACGGGCGCGGATCCGGACCCCGTCGGGTCCGCCTCCCGACGGTCCACCTACCAGCGGGCCCGCCGTGGGACGGGGTCCCAGCGCGGGCTGGGTCTGTAGACGGAGCGGGTCCCTGCATGGAGCGGGTCCGCAGCCCGATCGGGTTCTTTTCCCGCGGTTCTCCTGTCAGGTGTCTTTGATCGGCGTGGGCCGTCTGTGATTCGCCTTCGGGCCAAACGTGGCACCAGGGACCGAAACTGAAGGAGTGGGCCGAGGGGACTGGGGGTTCTCCGCTTCAGATGGGCCACAAGCCCCGACCAGACACCATGGATGGCAGTGGGACTTACTCTTTACGGGTGAGCGGGAATCATGCCTTCCCTCATCTGGCATGGCTCGCCATTTTGATGGGTACGAGTACATGTAGTCTCAGAAAGAATGGATTGTGCCTACAGGGTGCAACATTGTCGGACCATCAGCCATCTATTGGTGGCGTTCACATGTACGGGATTGTATGCGTTGTTTTGTTCGTGCGTGGCCGTTTTGGGGCATCACTCGGCCAGTGGCTTCCAGCCGATTCCGTCGCCATGCTTGGGGTGTGGGGGCTTCAGGCTCCTTTCCCAGTGTCTCTTCTTGCGTCATGGAGTGCCTTCTTTTCGGGCAGTGTTTTCAGGAGTGACAATGGAACGAAACAAGAGGATGAGGATTAGGAGGCGGAATCGGAGGTAGACAAGGTGGAATCAAATCCGCAACAGTTGGAGGAGGAAGAGGACGTTAAGGAGGAGGAAGAGAAGGAGGAGGATGAGGAGGAGGAGGGGGAGGAGGATGAGGAGGAGGAGACGGAAGGCCAGTGCCCATTCGTGTTCCAGCAGTCGCCAAGTCACACATGTTGGTGGGATCTAGCGCAGTCTTTGCTACTCTAGCGCATGGAGAACAGGGGCTAGTGTTCCTGAGATGTTGGTAGCTGTCCCCGAAAATAGCCCTACGTGTCGGACACTTGCCAGGCCAGCAGTGGGGCTACTTCGCTGCCTCTGGGACCCCTTGCCTAGCCTTGTCGACTGGTTATCGTGCCTCCAGTGATAGGGCACTTTTTGTGGCAAGCCCCTGCACGATGCCAGCGAGGGGTTTATCGATACATTTTGTTTCAGCTGGTGTTGGGTTGTCAGCGGAGGCCGCTGACGAACCTTCTCACCTTCTGTCTCTAGCTTGCGATTCAGGCTTGACAGATAGTCGGCTTGTGCATTGCCGTCCACCTGATGCCTGGATAGAGGCTTGACTGACAGTCGATCTGTACATCGCCATCAATCTGATTCTTACCTACTGTCGAAGTTGGAGCCGTCGGCAGAGCCCCTGAAGCTTCGGGGCCGCGAGGATTCTCTGCGAGCGGTCTGACTTCGGAGCGCTCTCAGTGCAGCCGAGTCTACGGGCCGAGTTCTGCCGCCTCCTCGGACTCCCGTTGCGTTGGTTTTTCGCATCGTCCTCCCCCTCATTCCATCCCACTTCCGCCCTCATTCTTCTCTTTCTCATCCCCCCTCTTTCCTCCTCTTCCCCTTTGCCTCCTGTTGCAAACGTCCTTCCTCACTCCTTCAACTTCCTCCTTCCCCAACGTTCTTCCTTACTCACAGTTTTTTCCACTCCCTCCTCCCCTCCTTCCTCCTCTAGGGTTTTCTGGCCTACAACGTGGCAGCAACGATGACCAACCTTTGTCCTCGATCCTCGATCCTCCACCTTCTCATCTTCCTCCTCCTCCTCAGAGTTTGTGCGTCATCGGCTTCTGGCTCGAGCTGACATCACTTGGTGAGCGTGCCTCGATTGAGCAAGTGTGTTTTTACCCAGAGGCTCGTGCCGCACCGCTGACTCCGGGGGGAGCGAGGGAGGAGGGAGGAGGAGGATGACTCGGCGGGAGGAGGAAGGAGGAGGAGGCCTCGGCGGAAGGAGGAGGAGAAGGAGGATAAGGAGGAGGAGAAGTCGGAGTAGGAGGTGGAGAAGGAGGAGGAGGAGGGAGGAGGAGGGAGAAGGAGGAGAAGGAGGAGGAGGGAGGGAGGAGGGAGAAAGATGCCTCGGCGGGAGGAGAGCAACCCCAGCATTTTCATCATCATCATCATCATCATCATCATCATCATCATCATCATCATCATCATCATCATCATCATCATCATCATCATCATCATCATCATCATCATCATCATCATCATCATCAGCACCATCGTCATCATCATCATCATTATTAGCATCATCATCACCACCATCACAATCACCATCATCATCATCATCAGCATCATCATCATCATCACCACCATCACAATCATCATCATCAGCATCATCATCAGTGTCACCATCATCATCATGAACATCATCATCATCATCATCATTATCATTCTCATAATCATCATCATCACCATTATCATCGTCATCCACCTCATCATCGTAACTATCATCACCAACACCATCGCCATGAACATCACCATCGCCATCATCATCATCAGCATTATCATCGTCGTCATCTGTATCAGCATCAGCATCAGCATCAGCATCGTCATCATCATCGTCGTCATCATGACCATCATCATCATCATCATTATCAGCATCGTCATCATCAACATTATCATCATCATCATCAGCACCTTTGTCATCATCATCAGCATCGTCATCGTCATCGTCATCATCATCACCATCATCATCATCATCATCATTATCGCATCATCACCAGCATCATCGTATTCATCACGACCAACAATATCAAGTACATCTTCATCACCATTACCATCATGTCAATCAGCATCATTATCATCATCATTGGCATCATCATCGTCATCATCCTCATCATCATCATCATTCATCATTAGACGCGTCATCACCATCGACATCAACATCATCACCATCATCATCACCACCATCATCATAGTCAATATCGTCGCCATCACCATCATTATCCCCCTTCTCCTTGTCGTCATCGTCACCATCATCGTCGTAGGTATCATCAGCATCATTTTTCATCATTGTTATCATCATATCATCATCATCCTCATCATCATCCTCATCATCATGACCATCTTTGTCGTCATCATCGTCAGCGTCTTCGTCCGCGTCCTCGTCCTCGTCCTCGTCGTTGTCCTGCACCTCGTACTTCCGTCACTTCCCCCCTTCTCCTACCCCCCTATCCTCCCCCCTCCTCCCTCCGCCCTCTTCACTCCTTCCTCCGCTCTCTTCCTTCCTTCTCTTCACTTCTCCCTCCACATCGTCATTCTTTCCTCCTCATTCTCTTCTCATCTCTTCTCTTTTCTTTTCTTGTCTTGTCTTGTCTTCTCGTCTCTTCTCTTCTCTTCGCTTCTCTTCTCTTCTCTCATTTTCTCTAGTCTTCCCTGATGGGTACAATGTTCTTCATTCTCGTGCTGCTGCTTGGCAGCGCGCCGTGGTCACCTCCAGCGAGCGGGGGTCTGCGGCTATGTTTTCAGGCCTCCCGTCGGCGAAGTCGCTTCGCCGTTCTTGTGCGCCCCCCACCGCCGCCCGCTGCGAACCCGATGCGCCTCTTGATGGGACGGGGCAGTTGGATGTGCACGGGGAGAATGAGCAGGAGAAGGAGGAGGAGGAGGAGGAGAAGGAGGAGGAGGAGGAGAAGATGAAGGAGGAGGAGGAGGAGGAGGAGAAGGAGGAGGAGGAGGAGGAGGAGGAGGAGAAGATGAAGGAGGAGGAGGAGGAGGAGGAGGAGGACGAGGAGGCCGAGGAGGACGAGAGAGAGGATGCTGTGGGGGACAGGATGAGGATGAGGAGGAGATGGAAGAGGAGGAAGAGATGAAAACGGGGAGGTGGACGGGGAAGGCGACGAAGAGGAAGAGGCAGAGGAGAAGGCATGCTGTGGAAGAGGAGCGAGGAGGGGGAAGGCAAGGAGACGGAGGATGACTGTTAGGATGTTGGTGAGGGCGATGAGGAGGAGGAGGGGGAAGGAGAGGGGGGCGAGTTTGGGTGGCGTCGGTATCGGTACCCGCCAACCGATCTTTTCACGACGGTAATCGTCGCACCGGAACTGCCAACCAGAATGAGCAGCGACATCCCATCACCCGTGGCGAGGCCGTCCAGGGAGGCGACCCGCGGGGGCAGCTGGGGCGCACGCAGGGCCTGGCTCGGCGGCCGCGACCCAGACGACTGCAGAAAAATGTAAGAGGACCTCGGCAGGACGGTTCAGAGAGCTCGCAAGCTCGGGATATCACCGGAAGCACTCTGAGAGGCCGAAACATCGTTTTTTCTCGAGCACCAGTTTTGTCTGACACCGGTGCGTAGAACAGTATACGATGTCCGGGGGTGGGGGCACGAACCAGAAATATCCTTTGGTCGACAGGCCGGGTGGCTTGAGACTGAGAAGCTAGGGAAACGGGGGGCGACCCACGAAGAGGGGACAGGTTGAGAAAAGCAAACCTGTACGTCACCTGGCCCAGGACTGCCACTTTTTGCGCTACCCGTGGCGGCAGCAGCCGTGCCATGCACGACGTGAGGCACTGTGGGAGGTGCCCAGAAGTCTGGCGAGGCGACTGGGGGCGGCCCACGACGAGGAGACGTGGGGAGGACCAGCATACTCAGTGTCTGCTCCCTGCGAGCCGTCGGAGGCACTCGCCCACGTGGGCTGTCCGTATTGAGCTTCGCCGCGCACTGGCATCGGCCCTTCCTGCTGCTTGGGACCAGACCGGCTCACACCGCGTCCTGAAGTGCTCGATGGAGCCGCTGGTCCACAGCATCGTAGGTGTGCGGTCGCTGGGCACGACCAGTGCCACGATGGACTGATTGCCCATGAGTCGGGGGGGGGGAGGTATTGGGATGAAAAGGTTCGGAAGAGGAGGAGGAGGAGGAGGAGAAGGCTGAGAGGGAGGAGGATGGGGATGGTTGAGAAGGTACAGGAAGGACGGGGGGCGGAAGGGGGAGGAGGGCGAGGAGAACGGAGGAGAAGTCGGGGCGAAGGCAGTGGGCGAGAAGGACTCGTAATCCGATGATGATGATGATTCTGATGGTGATGATCATGATGATGCTGATGACCATGATGCTGCTGCTGCTGCTGATGATGTTGATGAGGATGAGGAGGATGATTATGATGTTTGTTTTGATGCTGATGATGATGTTGATGAGGATGATTATTCTTAGTATCTTAACTCCAGACATTACTATTATTGATATGATGCTAATAATGATGATCATGATGATGATGGTGATGGTGATGATGACGTTGATGATCATGATGATGGTGGCTACGATGATGAGGATGTGGATGATGATGATGATGATGACGATGACGTTGATGATGCTGAAGATGACGACGACGATGAGGATGATGATGATGATACTGATGATGATGATGATGATGATGATGATGATGATGATGATGATGATACCGATGATGATGATGATGATGATGGTGATGATGATGTCGGTGGTGGTGGTGGTGGTGGTGGTTAGACGACGATGATGATGCAGTTGCTGATGACGATGATCATGATGACGTTTACGATGCTGTTGGCGATGCTGATGAGGATGATGATGATGATGCTGATGCTGCTGCTCATGATGGTGGTGGTGATGACGATGATGATGAATACGATACTGATGCTGATGCTTATGTTGATGCTGCTCATGATGCTGACGGTGGTGATGATGACGATGATGATGCTGATGATGATACCGATCATGATGATGCTGATGATGCTGATGATGACGTTGCTGCTGCAGATGATGGTGATGATGATGATGACGACGATGCTGATTATGCTGATGATTATGCTGATGATTATGCTGATGATGGTGATGATGATGATGATGCTGCTCATGATGCTGACGCTGATGATGATGACGATGATGATGACGATGATGCTGATGATGATGCTGACCATGGCGATGACGATGCTGATGCTGATGATGTTGATGTTGATGAGGCTGATGATGCTGATGATGCTGATGATGATGATGGTCATGACGATGACAATGATGACGATGATGCTGATGATGATGATGATGATGCTGATGATGATGATGATGATGCTGAGGACGATGCTAATTCTGGTGATGCTGATTATGATGATGATGATGATGATGATGAGGATGATGATGCTGATGATGATGATGGGGCTGTTGTTGATGATGGTGATGCTGATGAGGATGGTGGCGATGATGATGATCATTATCGTTGTTTTTGTTATTATTATCATGATAATGGTTGTTATTATCATAAGTATCATACCTACTTTCATTACAATCATCTTTAGGTTTACCTTTCTTCTTCTTTCTCTTTGTACTAGTAGTAGTAGCGATATTGCTATTCGTATTGTTTAGGCTTGAGCTGATTATGCTGATGACGATGCTGATGCTGAAGATGATGACGAGATGATGATTGATGTTGTTAGAGGTGTTGTTGATGACGATGATGAGGAAGAGGACGGCGACGATTAGATGGAGGAGGGAGGTGACGAAAGCGGAGAGGAAGAGGATGAGGAGGAGCAGGAGGAGGAGGAGGAGGAGGTGGAGGAATAGGAGGACGAAGAGGAGGAAGAGGATGAGGAGGAGGATGAGGAGCAGGAGATGGAGCAGGACGAGGAGGAGGAGGAGGAGGAGCAGGATTAACATATTCCCATCATGCCCTTCTGGGACGACTCATGCTGGAGTCCCCTTGGTATCCTTCTTGGGAACGCTCCTCCCAAACGTCTTTAACACTTCCTGACGAGGCGCGCGTGAAACAAGGATGAGGAAGAGGGGGGAGAGGTGGGGAGGCGGCTACCTACGCGTTGGTGCCGTGTGCGATCGTTCTCCTCAAACCACTTTCCTCATTCTCCCTCCAACTGGGTGGACGGAGGAGAGAGATAGAGAGATAGATGGATCAAGGGGTCCACATACGTATATCTATGTAGAGAGATACAGAGGAGAGATAGAGAGAGAGAGAGAGAGAGAGGGAGAGAGGGAGAGAGAGAGAGAGAGAAAGAGAGAGTGCGAGAGAGAGAGAGAGAGAGAACGGGAGAGTGCGAGAGAGAGCGATGGCGAGAGCGGGCGAGATGGAGAGAGAGAGCTAGAGACACCAGGAGGGAACGCAGGAGGAAGGAGAGAAGAGAAGGAGAGAAGAGCGAGAAGGGAGTTCCCCGAGGTTGGAGAACGTAGACAGGAAGGGAGAGGAGACGGAGCAGACTTTGGGGAGAACGAGTGACGGCTGAAGTTTGAGTAACAGCTGGAACGGATCGAAGCACTTTCAAGACAGACATGGCGATATGCACCTATCGTGTCGAGACGTTTGCTTGTGTTGCGCTAGCACCTAAGCGCGCGTGGCTTTAGCTTGTCATATTGGGCGACGCGGGGCCTTCTTGCACCATCTTGGATCCGCTGACCGCTCGGGGGTGGGGGAGGGGGGAAATCCAGGCCCATGGACTGGAATGGGGTATGAGAACAACCTGGAGTTGGAAGGAACACGTTGGCAATTCGTCTGCGCCCACAGGGCTGGTGGGAGAAGGGTGAGAGAGCTGAGGAGGACAACAGATGGGGGGAACACGCTGATGATGAGGAGGAGGACAAAAGTGGGGAGGGAGGTGGCGGGGGCGGAGGACGAGGATACAGAAGGAAAAGGTGGATGTATCAGGATCAGGGGGGGGGGGGGAGCGGTAGCATGACTTGCGCGTTTCCCCAGCGTGTTCAATGTAACTACATTTTGGGAGCGGTTTTGGTCTGCGTCTGTTACGTCCAGGTCCCCGCCTAGCTTTTAGCGGAAGAGGTTCACTCTCGCCCCGCATATCAAACATTTGTTACGTCCAAGTGTTGCTGTTGTGCTTCCTTCTGTTTCCTCCCTTGGCTCTGACACGTTCTCATAGCATATTCGTATCGCTCTATTTTTCACTTGCAGCCGAATATTCGGACGACAGTATTTACGGACCACATTTCGTGACACGGTTCCTCCCTCCTCTTCTCCTTCTTCCTTCGTAGGATATGCTAGTTTTTTGGGAACGCGTGTCGCCCCCTTCCTTATTCCTGACCCATGATGTGGGCGACAACATGTACGAACAAGGTTTCGCGGCACTGTTTCCCCTCTGCCCCCCCGCTCCCTCAAGCGGCTCTGATCCGTTTCATGGGCTAGTTCTTGCCACCCGATCTTCACGCCTGGCCTCCCGTGCTGCACATAATGATTCGTGGCTCTCCGACCTGGTGGCTGCGCCCTCTTCTTTCGTCCTCCTTGCGCAAGTTTGAAGTAGGAAGAGGAGAAGGAGGAGGAGGGGGAGGAGGCGGAGGGGGGAGGAGGAGGAGAGGAGGAGGAGGAGGAGAAGGAGGCGGAGGAGGAGGGAGGCGGAGGGGGGGGAGGAGGAGGAGGAGGAGGGAGGCGGAGG